GCAGTGACATGCTCATGGCCACCCCAGTGTCAACTGCTGGGTTCTGGCGATCCTTCCACCTCAGCCTTCCAAGTAGCCAGAACTACAGGTGCATGCTACCATGCCTGGCTAATTTTCTATTTATTGTAGAGACGAGGGCTTGCCAAGTTGCCTGGGCTGGTCTGAAACCCACGAGCTCAGGCAATCCACTCCCAAAGTTCTGGCCTCCCAAAGTTCTGGGATTACAGGCTGAGCCACTGAGTCCAGCACATGTAGCTTCTTCTATAACAAAGGAAAAACCCCACCCTAGCCATTTGCTTGGGGAGTTCTGCCACCTATGTACTTTATGGCCTCAGAAAAGTGACAAGCTCTCTGGGCCTGTTTTCTTGGCTAAAAAAAGAGAGGGGGATGTTCTAAGATAATACAGTATACATAGAACACATTCTCTGAACGCCACTCTTCTTTTGAATTAATGCACTCAGGGAATGTCCAAGCCCAGCCCTCGCCCAAGAACAGAAACAGAACAGGCTTCTGTCTCACTCATGTTAAAGTACTGGGTCCTTCTGGGCTTTGCAGGGAATGTCAAACTTACCCCAGACACAAAAACTCAAGGTCAACCCAAACCACCACACCAAAGGGTCAAGGAAAATGGTCCAAATCTATGGCAATTTCTCTTCCTGAAATATCTGTAATATTTGTATATATCCCCTGCCACCCTGGTTGGGGCCCACGGAAGCAGCAGCCCAGGCCAGAGCACGACTGCCTATATAGAAGAAGTGACCCACAACAGTCTCTGTGCTCTCTGATGACCCCTCCCCCACCTCCAGCAAAGTTCTCAGGAGGTTTGCTTTTTAAGAGAAAGCAGCTAACCTTTTAGGACAGCAGTGAGGACCACCATGGAAACCCCAGGGGCTCTCCCAGATGCGGGCCATCACCCACTCACAGGGTACTGCATTCTGGCCCCCTGCAGGGGTTCTGTGAACTTGCCCAAGGTCAAGGAGGGGAGCCCAGTCCAGGTTCCAGCACTCACATGACACAGTGGCCGCTTGAGAATTTGGCTGTATCTGCCGTTAGATGACATCTGTGTGTTACGAAATCATCTATGGCATAGAGGGACTGGGCCCAGATGGGGGCATCTCCCTTGGGTGCTAGGGTACAGAATGAGCAGAAGAGAACAAAGAACATCAGACAGCTGACCTCCCCCCTGCTCCGCACTGGAGATGGAGGACCTTCATCTGCGCAGCCTCAGCAAGGCCTCAGCATTTACTACTTGCCGTCTGTAACTATTCCACCTCATAAAAACCGCCCCAAGGTCAGAGATCAAAGGGCAGCAACACAGGAGCTGACTGCAAAGACCAGGCTCTCAACCTTCACAGAAGAGGTTGCAAACTTGAAGCCTCAAAGGGTCAGGTCTATCTACAGTGACAGTCCCGACTCAGCTCGGGTCACCCTGGCTGTGTGGGAACAGGGGTCTGGGGGATCTGACATTGATGTTTGAAAAGAACCTACACATCTGGATTTCTATAAATTTTTGTAAGTTTCTGATTTTCAAACATTGGCTTGCAGTGTTTTAAGCAGTGGGTTTAACGCCAAGGGTTGTTTTTGACAATGATAACTGATGAAGACGATGATGATGATAGCCATAACGATGATACAACCACAGCAAACACTTCTGAGTACTTAGTGTATGTTAGGACCAAGTTAAGTGTTTCCTGGGGATCATTCAACTTAATTTTAGCAATCCTAAGAGGCCAATGTGGCTATTATCCTCATTTTATAGTTGATTAAACAGGCTCAGAGAAGCAGTCACCTGTCCACAGTCACACATCTTAGTGAGAAATTCATCTATGTCTCAGATCCTGGTCAGCCTGACGTTGCCCTCAATTTCTGAACTCTGCATTTGGACAAGCGAGTCACTCTGTGCACTGCATTTCATTGTGGGGGCATGGACCTCCTGGGGCTACTTCTGGGGTCAAGAGAGCTGATGTTTGTGCAGCACTTAGAAGAGCATGCTACACTACCCTGTGCGCAAGCGGCTGCCTATGTCAGCTCGTGTTATTGCCAGCATTATGACAAATGTCACTAATTGCTAAGAAGCCAGTTGCAGCCCTGAGGGACGAAACACGCTTTCTCAAGCCAGACTTGTGGGTCCTGCCTTAGAGATGGATGATCCTCTGTGTTTTCTACACTTATGTTTGCTATATTTTACTTTAAGTGAGCTCATACATTGATTGATTGATTGGAGTCAGAGTCTCACTCTGTCACTCAGGCTGGAGTGCAGTGGCACAATCATAGCTCACTGCAGCCTCAACCTCCTGGGCTCAGGATCTCCTCCCACCTCAGCCTCCTGAGTAGTTGTGACTACAGGTGCACACCACCATGCTGGGCTAATTTTTTATTTTTTGTAGAGACAAGGTCTTACTCTATTTCCCAGGCCAAACTCATGCTTTTATTTTGATTTATTTATAAGAAAATCTCTGTCACAACCCTGAAGGAGAAGCCCATACCACTTGCCCCAATGAGTGAAAATAAACACATCACAGTTGAGCGGTTTTCCAATTGTCTGTCTGTGTGCCACTCACATCAAGTCACCTCACATATCCCAGGGACTGGGGAAGCTGGAGTGAATGGCTGGGTGAAGAATGACACAAATCCCCAGGGAGACAGACAGACAGACAGATAGACACATACACACACACACACACACACATGACGAGGTCTGCCTCCTCCCCTTAGATCCTGCCGAAAGCTCTTCCCACAAAGCAGATCCCCTTGACACTCCCTCCCAGGGCTCCCACTTCCCTCAGAGAAGGCCTGCCCAAGCCATGACCTGGTCCAGTCACCTCTCTCTGTTTTTATAAAGCTTCAGAGCACAAGCCAACCCTTTTACTTCCATGTCACCTACCACTGCTTTGGGTCTAGGAGAGCTGAGGTGAGCGGCTACACCTGACATGTTAGCAAAACTGACACCATTTACTCCCCAGTCCGCTGTGAAAAGTTGGGGGACCTCTGTTTCTGCACCTGCTGCTCCCCTTTCTGTGATGCTCTGTCAGTCAACTCCTATGCCTCCCCTAGGCCCCACAGCATGTCCTGCTCAGGAGAAGGTCCTTACACAAAGTAATGGCCTCCACAAACCAAGTGTGCTCTCGGGAACCCATCCCCAAACCAAGCATCTGGAGACAGCATGTGTTCATCAGAGGTAAGAAGCAGGTGCAGACAGGCAGGCACTTTTGCGGAGCTAAGTGAGCATAAAGAACCCACCAAGGAGCAGCCAGTGGGGGACTGGGAGCCACACCCCCACCAGGAAGGAGGCTCAGGGGCCATAGGGTAAGGCTAAGCTCTACTTAGCCATCAGAGACATGCCAGCCACCACCTCCAAAGGCACACACCGGGGAGACATGAGGACACAGGAATGCCAAAGGGGGTCCCTGTATGAGAGCCCCCTAGGACCACAGCTCTTCAGACTTCAGATTCCCACTACATTCTCAAGCCAAGTGCAACTGGAGAAACACAGCCAAACCCAAGGAGAGCAGATGCCACTGGGCAGGTGCTGGCTAGCACCACAGGGACACAGTACATAGGGCAGTCCAAGAGAGCATAGGTGTCCCCTTCGGTGGCAGAAGGCAGCCCCAAGCACAGGGACCACCTGCTATGAAGCAGAAGCCAGGAGGGCATATCTACAGCTGCACTTCTGATTCCCACACTCATAGAGAGATGGAGTTTGCCCCCAAACGGTGCGTGATATGCTCCAGCCCCCAAACTGTGCGTGACATGTTTACAGTCTGAAATCTTACAAGGGGACAAGATTCTGGTTCCAGAGTGTGGCTTTTCAGAAGGCTGCTGTGACATCGCTCTACTGGTGGGAGCTGGGAGGGAGAGGGTCTGCTTTAACTCATGGGTTTCTTCAGTGGGTTCCTGCATCTTCCTCTCTCTCTCTTCCACCCTTTCCCTGTCTGGCAAGTGCCCTGGTCTAATCAATGAAAATAAAAACAACCACACTGCAGCCCCCACTGCCTCCAATAATAATTACTCCATGCAGCCAATGTGCTAAGTTCTTACTGTGCTAAGTTCTTCCCACCCTCTAAACCCAGATGTGAGTGCTGTTCCTTTTCCCATTTAATAGAGGGATACTGAGGCTCAGAGCAAAGCCTAACACATTTGGTTGGAAGCAGCGGGAAGAGCCCGGCAGGGACCCAGCATGGGGAATCTCCAGTAGCTCCCACCAGCCCCAGACATGGAAACAGCTCTCAGGACCACAGGATTGTCCCTCAACCCTGCGCCCTACCCTATATTCTTGGGATCGGCTGAAATGCTCCCACTGCACATGTGCCCATCTGAGAGCACTGTCCTTCCCAGAAAGTCTCAGTGGAAGCACAAAGACAACCTCTGAGGAAGGAGCACCGCAGACAAACATGTTAAAGCATCTCCATTCATGGACTGTGCCAGCCTTGGAAGAGACAGTTGAGAAAAAAGACCCAACAAATGCTGTCACCCAAAAGGGCAGAGAACATGGCAGGGCCCGGGTGTCTTGAGAACAATGTCTCACCAGGGCTGCTGCCCAAGACACTTCAAGGACCCCAGTGGGGACAGATGGCCATTCTGGAAAGTTTGTCCCTCCAAATTTCATGTTGAAATGTGACCCTGAGTTTGGAGGGTTGCCTGGTGGGAGGTGTCTGGGTCACGGGGTGGATCCTACATGAATGGCTTGTGCCATCCTGGTGGTGATGCGTGTATTCTCACTCTGCTGGTCCATGCGAGAGCTGGTGGTTTAAAGAGCCTGGCACCCCCCTTCTCTCACTTTCTCTCTCGCCACATGGCACGCCTGCTCCCCTTCCCCTCCTCCATGAGTGGACACCTCCTGGGGCTCCACCAGATGTCAGCACCAGGCTTACTGTCCAGCCCACAGGACTGTGAGCCACATATCCTTCATTCTTTTATAAACCACCCAGTCTCGGGTCTTTCTTTACAGCCACACACACAACCTAAGACAAAAACCAACCCTGCATGTCTCCAGCCAGTACCTGTGTCATCTGGATGGGAGGCCGAAGTCAGTGGCTCCTCCAGGGAGGCCTGGTCCTTCCCGGCAGCCAGGGGGCTTCCTGGCTGGGCATCTTCTGAAGCCAGCGTATCCTGCTTGGGTATGGACGGCTCACTCTGCGCAGCATGAGGGCCTCCTTCAGGGTTGCTCGCTTTACTTTCAGCATCTGCAAGGATATCCAGTAGTCAGCAGGCCTGAATCTCCCTCCCTGCAAATGTCCATTCATACCAAGTGACCTTTAGGAAGTATGCCTTTGCAGTCCCGACGTGGCACCCGACACTCCTCCCTGCTGACACATCCCCAGATCCCCACTCTCCTTGGCCCTGGCTTCTGCTCATGCACCCCAATCCCTGCCACCTATGTGGTGCCCCCACCCTCACCCTGGCCTCTGTCTTGTGACCTGCTTCAGTCAAGGAGATCTCAGTGTGTTTGACACAGCCGTGGCATCAAAACTGCTTGTACATTCCTGCCACCAACCTCCTGTGCCCCTCGGCCCTTGCCCTGGGTACAGATCCAGGACACACAGCCCCAAAGGTCAGCAGCAGATGGAACAGAGCCAAGGCCAACCCAGACAAGGAACAACAGAGGGTGATGGCTGTATGCGCCTGAGGGGTCAGGGTTATTTCTTACCTGACAGTGTCATGGCTGCAGAGGACCATTGACCTCTGCACCCATAACCTGACCCTGAGTCACCCACTGGGCAAGTGTCGACACATCACCCACAAAGCATCTGGCAACATGACAGCCCCGGGCAGGGCAGATGTTCATGAGGCACAGTCCTTGCCCCATGTGGCTCACACTCTGAGGAGGCCATGCAGACAACCACTCATGGCACCACAGGTCCAGGAATGGGGGCACAGCCACAGATGGAGGGGGCAGAGCAGGGTGTCCCTAGGTCTAAACAGGCAGCCTCCCCAGGACAGGCAGCCTCCCCAGGACAGGCAGCCTCCCCAGGACAGGCAGCCTCCCCAGGACAGGCAGCCTCCCCAGGACAGGCAGCCTCCCCAGGACAGGCAGCCTGAGGGTTCCGTAGGGCTCAAGGAAGGACCTGGCACTTCCTCTTTTGGGATTCAACTGCTGTGGCCTCTGAGGGTCTGGCCCCAGGCTGGTCATGCCTCACCTGAGCCCCTGTTCAGCATTCAGGGAGCAAAATACTTGGTCCAGTCACCCAGCAGCAGGGCAGCAGCCCCCAACCAGTCACTGACACCCACATCACAGTTCCATGCATAGATCCCCACATGGCCCCTGCGGGACCCCATTCATCCCCACTGTCGTCCATAGAGGTAGACACCATGGCACAGAGGGCAGAGTGAGCTGCACACACACCCATGAGGCCACAGTGTGGGGACATGTGGGGACACTGGCCCACTCTGACTTCTTCTTGCACTGCCTCCCATCACAGCGGGGGGGGGGAGAAGGGAAGGTTTATTTCTGTTGGGGACACTGTTTAATCTGATGCCTACCTGCCATCCCTGCATCCTACAAGTCCCTTTCACTCCTACAAGTGTCCTGGTTGGACAAACAGCAGAAGGTCACTCCACCCATGCAAGCCAGTCCCTGAAAACAGAGCTTCTTGTGCCTACACAGCAAACTCCTCGAGTCCCTCATCTATAAAATGGGGATAATTGTACTACTTGCTTCATGGCACTATCACAAGTTAAATAAGTTGACAGATGGAATGTGTCTGGCACAAGGCAGGCACCCTACATGTGCTTGCTATCACCACTGATTTCTTAGTGATGGCTTCTGTCAAGAAGGAAGATGACAAGGGTGACTTCATATACTAACAACAGGTTCTCTCTTAAAAGGATCTGCTGGTCCCATGGCTTGGGAGGCTGAGGCAAGAGGATTGCTTGAGCCCAGGAGTCCGAGGTCAGTCTGGGAAATATAGCAAGATCTTGTCTCTACAAGAACATTTGAAAATTAGCCAGGTGTGCTGGTATGTGCTTGTAGTTCCAACTACTCAGGAGATTGAGGCAGGAGGATTGCCTGAGCCCAGGAGGTCGAGGCTGCAGTGAGCTGTGATCGTGACAGAGTGAAATCCTAACTCAAAAAATAAAACACAAAACAAACAGGATCCTCACTGCACCCAGAACTCATTCCAGGCCCTCCTTCCTAAGACCCACAATGGGACTTGAACTTGTCACCACTGCCAATCATGTTCCCTCAATTCATGTCTGTCTCCCTGGGGTAAGAGCAAAAGCTCTGTCACACAGAAGCCTGAGATCCAGGGCCAGCAAATCTCATTTACGCAGACATGTCACCTGCCCAGAGGTGTTGGCAAAGCCGGTGACGTTTTCCCAAAAGGAGCAGACAGTATCTTAGACTTTGTGGGCCACACACCAGACTTATAGTCCGTGCTGTGTATTCTTCCTTGACTTTTTATTTTTATAAATGTCCTTTATGTTTAAAAAGCATTCTTAGTTCAAAGTCTGCATAAAGACAGGTCCTGGGCCAAATTTAACTCTTGGTGACAACTGCCCACCAGTCGCCAACCTAGGCGAAGACTCAGACACAAGAGAATGCACTGAGTGGACAAAATGAGATGTCACAAAGCCCAGACTGCAGTCTCTTAGCCCCTCTCTCTGACTGGTGTTATTCATCCTTGACATACAATCGAAACAGTCTCTATGACCAGCTTACCAGCCCCTGGGGCCCAGAGGAAGCATCAGTCCCTAGGGACTGCCTGGCTTGAGCTCACACCCACCCTGCATGTCAGGTGAGGCTCTCACCTGCCACTTGCTGTGGATGCCAAACCTCAGGATGCCCAGGTTACTGGCTGCTGTGACCAGCACTGCTATTGATAAGATTGGCATCTCCACCACCATCATCATCATCAAAATGACAACATTCAAAATATGGTCAGAACACCAAACCCGGGAGGCCCAGAGGTCTCTAGCCTCTAACCAGACTCAGACAAAGTCCCACACACGCCTGCAGTCCTGGACTCCCCCACCTGCGTCTGCAGCCCAGAGGCCCTTGGGGGGCTTTTCTGGGCTGTGCTCAGAGCTCCGGCTCATAATCATGTTCAATGAAAAGTTGCAGTTCCCAAAATAGCCCTGGTGGCAAGGCCGTTGCTAAGAAACGCCGGTTTGGGGAGGGGAGGGCTCAGGCCCGCCCCTCTGGCTGTGTGTAGTCTCCCCTGCAGAAGGGAGCACAGGACAGCATGCCTGCTTGTCACACCAAGCAGCCACAGGGAGGGGGAGTGTGCCCCAACACACACACACCCGCACACATATGCACAGTGCAAGCACATATGTGTACACTTAATGCACACATGTGCATGAGCCAGCACACACACATCCCCAGGCAGGAGCTCCTACCACATGGAAACCAGACAGACCTGATTTGTCACCGTCCAACTCCCTGAGGAGAGACTGCCTGTCAGTCTCAGGTCACTGAGCACAGCACCAGGGTATTCACTCTTTTTTTAGATCCAATGATGGGGTATGAAATTCCTCAACTTAAGAAAACACCTAGTCAACATGTACAAGGAGATGGAGGAAAGTAATTCAGAAATGTCAATAGCATCTGGCACAGAGGCCAGAGGAAGGGGCCTGGAGAAGGGGCCTCTTTATGCCAGAGATGCTGGTCTGCCCTTGCTGGGTCATGGTGACTCAGAGGAGGGCAGGCAGGGCAGTGAAGACAGGCAGGAAGGATTCTCTTCTCCCCTCTCCACAGCCACCTGGCCCCATTTCGTGCATCTCATGATGCCACATACAGGGTCATCCCTAGATCCTGCAGAGGACAGAGTTACAGGAATGAGAGGACAAGAGGAGGGTCAAAGAGGTTCATAAAATGTACCTGTCAATCGTATCTATCCTCGAACAATACCCTCAGGGGAGATCAAACGTGTGCCCTGGACACAGCCTTCTCTCCCTGGGGACCCATGGACTCTCCCACAGGCCTATCTGGAGGCCAGCTCACTCTGGAGGCCAGCACACAGCATCAAGCTGCCTGATTGCTCCATGGGCAACCTCCTGGGTGACTGACATGTGCATGTGTGTGCATGTATGTGGGGCAGAGGGCACTCCTGGGACTGTCCTGGCCAAGAAAACTCAAATGCAAGCTCCTGGGGCTGCCCATCTATTCTGGAAGGTGGCTGGCCGGGGCCCATCTCTGAAGTCTGGGCCACAGCACGGCAGGCTTGGTGAGGGCAGCTGGCCACAGGAGGGCGCCCCTGGCTGCAGATTTGTCCTTACCTCGCTGGAAGCAGGAGGCGGCTGAGGCCAGATTCCTGAACCAACCCAAGAAAACCCTGCTGCCCCCACCCCCCACCCCCAGAGGGAGTCATCACACCCACAGAGAAGGCTGCACTGGGCTCCCACCCTCTGGTGGGGGCTCTGAACCAGCTGGCTCCAACACTCCCGGCCCACAATCCCAATCAGCCCACAAGAGGACCCAGGTGATCCCAGCACCAGTTCCCATTTAGACAGACAGACAGCCTGACCTGAAGGGGACGTTGCCCCAGTGAGAAACAGCATTTTCTAAGCAAGTACAGGATGGGAACCCGAGTGCACAGGAAATGTCCAGCCGGGAGCCTGTGCCGCACACTTATATGTATCCTCTTATTACAGGACGTTTATTTCAGGTAACACACAGGGAAGGATGTAAGAAGCACAAAAAGGTCCACAGTGAAAAGCACCTCCCACCCCTCCCCTTCCCCC